CGTCGGCGTCGCCCCGACATACTGATCAGAGTGAGGGGCCGAACGGTCATTCATGGTCCCTGCGTGCGTGACTGAAGTGAGGATCCGTGGTCAGCATGTTGCTGCGTTGTTGTTGTTGTTGTTGTTGTTGTTGTTGTTGTTGTTGGTGTTGTTGGTGTTGCTATTGTTGTTGTTGTTGGTGGTGCTGATGTTGATGTTTCTATTGTTGTTGTTGAATGTTAATTACCAAGCAATTATTATTGTTTGACCCTTTACAGGCGCTCTGGCGCTCTCGCTGAGACGCGGGCTGCATTCTTATTGCAAATGAGGCTCACTCTCAAGCGGTTTTCGGTGGACCACCAAAACCGGCCCTTAAACAACAACAACAACAACAACAACAGCAACAACAACAACAACACCAACACCAACAAGTACAACAACAGCAGGAACAACAACATCAACAACAACAGCAACAGCAACAACAACAACAACAGCAGGAACAACAACAACAGCAGCAGCAACAACAACAACAACGCTCCCGTTCGAGGCTTCCTCCTTTTTTACTCAGGGCCGGTGCTCTTGCTCGTCGCCGAAAGCAGCCGTCTCAACAAAACCAGCGCTCCCGCTCGAGACTTCCTCCCGCTTTACCTTGGACTGGCGCGCTACTCTTTCTCTCATCGGCGCCGCCCCCCAGCAACAACAACTCTCCCGCTCGAGACTTCCCCCCTTTTTTACTCAAGGCGGTGCTTTTGCTCGCCGCCGACAGCCCCCGTCCCGACAAAACCAGCGCTCCCGCCCGAGACGTCCTCCCGTTTTACGCTGGACTGGCGCCCTGTTCTCTTCCTCCTCCTCCTCCTCCTCCTCCTCCTCCCTCATCCCCCCTCCCTCCTCTTCCTCCCTCTTCCTTCCTCCACCCCCTCATATTCTTCCTACTCCCTCTTCCGTCCCTCTTTCCTCTCTCCTCCTCCCTCCCCCCTTCTCCTTCCTTTCCTCCTCCTCCTTCTCCTCGTCCTCCTCCCTCCTCCTCCTCCTCCTCCTCCTCCTTTTCCTCCTCCTCCTCCTCCTCCTCTTCCTCCTCCTCCTCCTCATCCTCCCTCCCTCCTCCTGTCCTTTCCTCCCTCTTCCTCCCTCAACCCCCTCTGCTTCTCCCTCCTCCCTCCTCCCTCTCCCGTCCCTCTTTCCTTCCTCCTCCTCCCTCCTCCTCCCTCCTTATTTCCCTTTTCGTCCCCCTTGTCTCCTCTCTCCTCCTGCCTCCCTCCTCCCTCCTCCCTTCCTCTTTCCTTCCTCCCTCGTCGTTCCCGTGTGATACTGCCTCACCTTTTTTATTCAAGAATGGGGCCTTCGTTTCGGCATCGCCTCTGGGGGGCTTCCAAGAGTCCCTGCTGAACTTTACTGATTCAATAGGTATAGTTTTTGAAGAGCACAGATGATGTGGAGGAGGAGGAGGAGGGAAAGAAGGAGGACGGATGACTTCCAGGGACTCCACGGATCGGGGGTCGAAGGGTTGACTTCAGGGATTCTTTGAGAGGGTGCGGAAGGGGCAGGTGGAGGATGCGAGCATGGGAGCGGCAGCGCCTGGGGGCGTGAACGTTCAAGGTCAAGCGCCGAGGCCGCGGGGCGGTGGCGTAACAGTTCGAACGAAGAGTCAGAACCACCTTGTCCTCGGAGGTACTGCTTCTACAACTGCTCCTCCTTCCTCCCCCTCCTCTTCCTCCCCCTCCCCCTCCTCATCCTCTTCCTCCTCCTCCTCCTCCTCCTCCTCTCTTCCTCTCCCTCATCTTCCCTCTCCTCCTCGTCCTCTTCCTCCTCCTCTGAGATGCGGGGCGCGCGCAAGGCGATGGCGATGGCGATGTGCCGTCCAGCTGTGGATGTCGAAGTTCCTCGGGAGAGGCGGTGGCAATGTTGTCTTGGGCGGGAGATCTGGGCGAGGGAATATATCGGGGACCGCATGCCAGAAAACATCATCATGATGGGGTGCGGCGTGCAGAAGGACGCATGCGACATGTGGAAACATGGCTCATGATGGTAAAATGATTGTCGTTGCTGTTGTTCTTTGTCGTCGTCCCACCCTGCGACCCGCCCCGCGACACGCCTGCGACCCGCCCCGCGCGCCGCCCGCGACCCACCCCGCGACCCGCCCGCGACACACGCCGCGATCCACCCGCGACCCACCCGCGGCCCATCCGCGACCCGCCCGCGACCCGCCCGCGATCCAATTGCGATCCACCCGGGACCCACCCCGCGACGCACCCGCGACCCACCCGCGACCTAACGGCGACCCACCAAGGACCAACCTGCGACCCATTTGCGACACACCCGCGACCCACCCGCATTGGTTTAACGAAAAAATCGGCTCCCGCGGCGGGCTCGTTGTATAATTTGTCAAACTTCGGCTCCTGCGGCGGGCTTCTCCAGAGACCCGCAAACTGCCGACGTCCCCACCGCCCCCTCGCCCCCTCACTCTCATCCGGATCAGCGGGGTGCTACGGGCACAATATGTAAGTCGCCTCCCCCAGGGGCGACGCGCGCGCCGACAAATCTTGTAGTATGTGCGTCGTGTCCGGCGCGTTCTGACCACGCCGCTCAGGAAACGACGTATTACAAGATGGGTATACGAAATGTTTGGGTCGGACGCGCGCCACCAAGGATGACGCATAGTACTAGTGTGTTTTGGTGCGTCCCATGACGCTTCTCGCCGGACCCACTCGCCGTCGCGCCGTCCCTGGAGCGTTGGCGCGCTCCGCGCGCCAGGGAGGGGGTCCAGCGCTGATCCAGAACTCCGCGGGGACCTCCGCCACTTTCTGTTTGCGTTGTTCTTGGTTGCTCGACCGTTCCTGGGGCCCACCAAACGGATGTGTTCGGCCATGGTTCGATTGTAGCTCGAATCGGGCTCGACTGCAGCGCGACTCAAACTCTCGATTCCCGTTCGATTCAAGCCGACGGACGCCCGACGTAGTATCGACGCACGAGTTGAGCGAGTGGCTCCAGGAAGGCCCCCAGACAATTATTGAAAGAAACAACCGGATTTCGGGTCAGGCTCGCAAGATCGGGCCCTAAACAAACGTTTGGCCATGCTCGATTTTGAGCCGCAGGTGGCGATGAGTTGGGAACAGCCATGTGGTTCCCCAGTGTTCAGGTAGGCGCCTCCCGGCTTGCGCTGCCACGCGGTTTGGCATGCTTGCGCGATGAGGGAGCAAGTGCCCCCTGGGCGGGGGGGGAGCGGAGAAAAAGAAGGGAGGGCTGCATCGCCAGCGCGTTGGGTCCGTGACTGCCTACCCGGGTTGCGACGGACGCGATGGATGTGATTTGCTTGAGGGAAGCCGAAGTACCCTTCAGGGGCTGCGCCCGCAAAGGATCCCACATGGTGCTCGCCACTCGAGGCAGGCCCGCGCCACGCCACGAGGCCGTCGCGGAGCGTGACGGCGCCCACCACCGAAGCACGCGCCCGCAGCCTCGATGATACTATCGGCGCGCACCGAAGCACGCGCCCCTGTCCCCGGGCCCGAGCAGGGCTCTTTTTGATTTCTCCGATTCGATTCGGTTTCGATGGCGTCCGATTCCGATTCGATTCGACTTCGGATTCCGTTTCGGATTCCGATTTCTCATAGGAGGCAGACTAGCCTGCCCATTTCCGCCGATCCGACTTCTCCCGACTCGGCTGCCGATTCCCGCCGATCCGATTCATTTCGATCGCCGATCCGACTTATCGATTCGATTCTGGGCTCTCTTGGGCACGAGGACCATGTGAAGGCGGGATCAGCGCCAGGCTCCTCCACGTCCGAACCGGCGCCCCTGGCACTGCGCACGACCGCTGCCAGCAGCATGGTGGCGCTTTTGCTGCGACTTGCCGGCCAGGCGGCCTGCGTCGCAGAGCACGGTGGTCCGTGCAGTTTTCGCCTTCCAGGTTCGCCTCGGCCAGGGAGCGGCGGCCGACCCAGTGACCCCGAGCAGCGTGTCCCAGAACAGTTGCAGGGGGGTGTGCAGGCGGGCCGCTGAAGAGGGCGCCCTGTTCGTTGGGGAGGGGCTCAGTGTCCCGTACGTGTTTCACAGTTCTTCTTGGGTTCTCCCCAGTGTTCTGTGGGACATCGCAATCTCACTTCTGGACAAAGAGGCCCCTTTCCTTGGTCAGGGCCCCTCATGATAGCGGTCCTACTGAAGGCATTTTCATCGGAAGGCCCCCGGGAGCGAGCATCCGACTTCCGCGTGCCACCGAGCGCGCCCGCGACACGCGGGAAAGGCGGGGGGCTGGCCTGTGGACACGAGCCTTCGTAGGTGCCAGAACTGTCCTAACGCGCTATGTCTTGTCGTTGCATCGCTCGTTCGTGTGCCCTCTTTCTCGGCGAGGGCCGTCGAAGAGCATCCTCGACCATCGGGCCAAACAAGCAAGCACGACACCGACGAATGCATGGGGAGTGGACGCTCGAGCGACGGCGAGCTGTGAAGTTGTTAGGCGCATCTGTGTCTTCGGTCTTGGCGACGAAGCGTGAAGCCTTCACTTCCAAAGATCCACCAAAGTTGGCCTCGGCAAGGCAAGGCAAAGCGAGCTGGCCTCATAGATAGCCCCGAAGGTGTCAGGCGACGGTCCAAGATGGTCCGAGGTGGTTTCCGCTGGGCCTCCAACAGGCCCCCAGACCGCCACACGACGGCTCGAGGCGGCCCCGCAGCCTCACCAGGATGGCCGCGAGAGGCCAAACATTTTCAACAACATCCACGATTTTCGATGATCTGTGGCATTCTCGTTTTCTGGCTTCCGATCGTGCATAAACTCACAGTCCCCTGTTTTGATTGTGCTCAGAGAGTGTTTGGATATCATGATGTGGTGTAAGCCATTGACGTTTCGGCTCACCTCTGCAGGCAAGCATCCCGAGAAAATATCTCACCACGGTAGCAGAGCCGTTGTCCCCGCCGGCGTCGTCGAGCGGGGGTTCCGCGGCTCCCGGCCCCGCGAGCGCGGGTGCCGCTCACGTGCCAGGTGTGCCAGGTGTGCCGGAGAACGAGGAGTGGATCGACCTGGCCAGCCACGGCTGGCGACGGATAGCACGGGCTTTGCGTAGGTTGTTCAAGATTCGGCGCCTGTGGTCAGCTCTCGGCAACCATCTGAAGCGCTTCACGGCGCTCAAGCCTCTATCAGAGCGCAGTCGTTGAGATGGCGACGGAAGAGCGAATCCAGCAGTTGGAGAGAGCAGCGCAGGCAATGACGGAGGAGCTCCAGAACCGACAGAATGGAAAGAATGAGCTGACGGCCGAGGTGCAGCGCCTTGGCCGTGCTGCAGCTGGCGGGGCCCAACCACCGGCTGCCGCTGCGGCGTATCGAGTGCAGCCCCTGGTGGATACGCGCACGATCGGCAAGCCAGACGTGTTCACTGGAGAAGAGCACAAGTGGAACGAGTGGAGGGTCATCTTTAGAGCGTGCTGCGCTGTCGCGAACCCAGACCTAGTCATCGGGATGCATCAGGCTGAGGGTGCCGACGCGATATCTGTGCTCATAGAGGATCTAGCCTAAGAGTCGCCACAGAGGGCATCGCAGCATCTGTGCTACCTCCTCCTCCTCCTCCTCCTCCTCCTCCTCCTCCTCCTCTGCCGCCAGCATCCCTTGACCACCATCGTTAATAACGGCGTGAATGAAGGCTTCCAGGCGTGGCGCAAGCTCGTTGAGTACTATGGGCCGAATGCTCGATCTCGGATCGTTGGCCAGCGGATCGTTGGCCAGCTGCTCAACCAACTGAACTCCACATTCACTGGTGACTTCGAGGACAGGCTAGCGCTGAGGATTGGCATTGTGCTGCGCCAGATGGAAGAAGGGCCCCTTCGGCAACACCTCTTGCTCAATGCGCCCCGGCTTCTGGAGTAGCAGGACTTCCGCCGGGAGGCTGGGCCCAGAGCGCGATTGCCCCGGCCCCTGTGCCGATGGGCCTGAGCGCCTTCGCCAAGGGTGGCAAAGGCAAGGGCAGGAGCGACGGCAAGGGCAAGACCAAGGGCGACGGCAAAGGCAGGAGCAGGAGCGACGGCAAGGGGAATACCAAGTCTGACGGCAGGAGCAACTCCAGCGGAGTCAAGGGCCACGGGCAGAACCTCGGGCCTCGCTGCTGGGGCCGCGGCGGTCGAGGCCACGACCGACGAGAGTGCCCCGGCAAGAGCGGGGGCCCACTGGCGAGCATGGAGCAGGCCCTGTCGCGCCTGAACCAGTACCATCGGCTTGGAGTGGACCCTGGCGCGACCGGGCCAGCTCCATCTGCGCCCGCGTCAGCTGCCTCGACCTCGACAGCTGCGACCACGAGGATCGGTTCAGCATCGTCTTCTACGAGTGGAGCGTCTTGGCAGATCGCGGCGCTCTACTCAAATGGCGACAGCGAGCAGGTCAGCCACCCTTTCGCGCACCTGTCCCTCGCCCTGAACGACCCGGGGACCACGATGGCGGACGGCGTCGATTCCGTGATCGGCACGGCCCTGGGCGCGAACGTGACCCACGGCAACGCGGATGCGGAGGAGGTCGAGCTCAACGGCTTCTTGCGCGTGGGCATCGACTCGCGCGCAGCGACGTCTGTGCTGCCGCGTGGCTCGCTCGCGGGCAACCCTGCGCACGAGAGCCCTGGGGGGGCGGTCACCAGCAAGACCGCCTCCCGCCACTGCGCGGCTGACGAGGGCGAGAGGCCCCTCGTGGGGAAGATGCCTGGAGCTCCCCAGGCACGCACCGCCAAGTTAAGGGTGGCGGGCGTCAGCATGCCCTTTCTGAGCCTCGCTGAGATGGTCGACTCAGTCCATCGGCTCGTCTTCGACCCCGAGGGCGAACGATGCGTTGGCCACGCGCGCCACGAGACCAGCGGAGACGTCGCGAAGTTCCGCCGCAGGGACAAGGTCTACGAGATCGACGTGCACTTCGACCCGCGCGCGCAGGAGGTCTGCCCTGCTGAGGCGGCGGGCCCGGAGCCTCCCAAGGGCGAGACCGGCCAGCCAGGTCCGGTCCACGAGGGGGTTGCTGAGGGCTCCCCGGCGCGACCGGCGAGGGGGCCCGCGGCCCCACAGCGGCGGCCGAGCGAGCCGCGCATGAGGTGCTGCGCAAGCCCTGCAGGGCTTGCCGCCGGGAGTGTGTCCTCGGCAGGGGCTTGTGGCTGCTCTCTCGGTGGTCGGCACTCGAGTGAAGGCGGGGCGACGACGCTGATTGGCGAGGGCCCCAAGCAGCGCTGGTTCCACGCGTCCACGGTGCCGGCCAAGGGTGCGCAGCATCCTTGGTCTGAGAAGTCGTGGTCGAAGAGGCTAGCGTTGGCTGGCCACAAGCGCTTCGTCTTCCGTTCGGATGGCGAGGCTTCCCTCGTCGCCGTGAAGACCCGCATCGCAGCCGACCTCGAGGAGGGCCACGGCGTCGAGACGGCCCCCGAGGAGGACGCGGTCGGCGACCCCCCGGGCAATGGCCTCGCCGAGCACGCCGCGCGCGATGTGAAGGCCAAGATCAGGGCCGTGAGGGCGCAGGTCGACGACCTCCGCGACGCGAGCATCGGCGCCGACCACCCGGCGATCCTGTCGATGGTCGAGCACGCGGCGACGTCGAGCAACCTGGGCAGGCACGGCGCTGATGGCACCTCCCAGGGGAGCAGGCGGAAGGTCGGCATCGAGGGCGAGTTTCTTTCTGGGCCCCACCTCGGGCCCACGCTGCGCACCGACGAGGTCTGCGCCGGCGCCGAGCTCAGCGCGCTGCGTGCCAGGACCTTCAAGCGACTACCGATCGACCAGCGTGGCGACAAGGGCATGCTGAACGCTCTAGTGGGGAAGCCGTGGGCGACTGTGCCAGCGAACGCGGCTATTTGCGAGGTGCCGGTGGCTATCGAGATCCGCGTCTGTGCCGGCTGGGGCTCCAGCGCCGCCCGTCGTGCCGGCCGACGCCCCAGCGCACGGGCCCCATGGGGTGGACCTCCCACCTCGGGCCCCCCTGAGGCGCGCGACCGGGTGCCGGGCCGCGAGCCGCCTGCATCAGGAAGGGCGTCGAGATTGCGAAGTAAGGCGCTGCCCCTACTGCCACGGCTGCGCCGCGATCCTCCTCGGCGCTCGGGCGCGGGCTCACTCTGCCGAGCGCCGCGCTCGGATCGAGCAGCGAGGCAGAGGCTCGAGGAGGCTCGAGATCTGCAGCGACGGCGCGGGGGCGGCGGAGGAGGCGGTTCGTCAAGCAGCGGCGGGCCGGCCCCGGCGGCGCCAGCGCCGGCGGCCGCGCCAGCCGCAGATGCGGACGTGGCCCCGGCCCCTCCAGACCCGGGCGACGGCCACCTGCGGGGGGAGATCGAGGCGCTGCTGCTCTCTCTAGGCAACAGCGGGCGCAGCGAGGATTCCGAGAAGCAGCGCCAGGCCTATGCCATCGGGCACGAACGCCTGAAGCTCGCGATAGATGCGCACGCACTGCAGTTCGTGAGTGGCCGCGCGTTCCTTCGCGAGCACCCTTGAGGCGCCGACGGCTGGAACGTGGATATCGCGGAGAACGCGATGGCCATCCCCGGCGCGGTGGTCCGTCGAGGGGGCCAGCGCGCGTTCGGCCCCGCGGCCCCGGGCGCTCGCGGCGACGGGCTCGCCGAGAAGCCGACGGGGTGGATGAGCGACAACATGGAGGTGTTGGCTGAGATTTGCCGGCGCTGCCCCAACGACACAGGGATTGGCCCTCGGCGCGAGCGCTCCGCTCTTGTGGGCTGGAACACGCGCGCGGCGGAGAGGTGCCCGACGAAGCCCCCCCTAGCCGTGCCGCGCGGTCTCTGCCATCACCTCTTGAACGAGAAGACGCTCACTCCATCGGCCCTCGATGCGGAGCCGAACGATGGCGACGAAGAGATCAGCATGCAGGACTGACGGACTTCACCGGGCACAGGCGCGACACCTTGAAAACCGAATTCGATGGCGATCTCACGGGGGCGCCGCTGGACTCTGAGAAGGTCAAGACAGCGAGGCGATCGGAGATGGACTTCATGGCGCCGCTCGGTGCGTGGACCTACGCAAGCGGCGAGGACTGCCACCGCGAGCTCGGCAGCAAGCCTCTCAGTGTGCGCCGGGCTGACACCGACGAGGGTGACTCTTGCCGGCCCGACTACAGGTCGCGTCTCGTCGCGCAGGAGATTATAAGGCTCAGAGCACCATCGCTGGGGACCACGTCGGCGCAGTGTTCGCAGCGACGCCACCGCTGGAGTGCCTCCGGCTCGCGCGCAGCTCGATGACCCGGCCGAGGGTCGCGTCTTGCGCCCCCTGGGCATCTCGCGGGCTCACCCGCGCTGCGAGATCGAGAGGTCGCTCTACATCAGGCTCCCAGACGAGGACCCGATGTCGCAGGAGGCAGGCAAGTGCGGGCTCGTGAGGGTGGCTCTCTACGGGGCGCGCGACGCCGGCCGGAACTTCGAGCTGACGACCTCCGAGACCGTCGTCGGCGCCGGCTGCGACCCGCCGGCCTTCTCCCCGCGCTGTACTGCCACAGCGACAAGCAGGCGGGCTTCTTCCACCACGGCGACGACTTTGCGCTCGAAGGCTCCCGCGACGACGCGGAGGCGATCCGCGACGCGTTGAGCGCGAAGTTCGTCGCGACGGATCGCGGAGCGCTCGGGCCAGCGCCGACCGACCTGAAGGGGATCACGCGTCTCAACAGGGCCTTGCGCTGGCGAAGCTGGCGGAGCCAGGGCGGCGAGGCCATCCAGTGCGAGGTGGGCCCCGGGCACGCGCCGACCCTCCCTGCGCAGCTGGGCATGGCGTCTGACGCGAAGTCATTGAGCCCGCCGGCGCGAGTCAGAAGTTGACGCCTGCGGTCGAGCGTGAGTTGCCCGAGTCCGAGGCGGCCGAGTACCGCGGTGCGTGCACGAGGCTGGGCTGCCTCGCGCTCGACCGCCCGGAGCTGCAGAACCGGACGGGGCGCCGTCGCAGACTCCTGAAGCGCGCTGGGCGCTTCCTCGTGGGAGCCCCGCGTGCTGTGTGGAGGTGGTGCCGCCAGAGGGGCCCGCCTTCCTGGACATCCACTCTGACGCGGACTGGGCTGGTTGCCCGATCGCCAGGAGGAGCACCAGCTCGGTCGTGATCAAGCATGGCCAGCATCTGATCGCGACGGCCTCAACGACCAAGATCCCGATCGCCATGGGCTCAGGCAAGGCGGAGTTCTACGGCTGCGTGCGTGCTGCCAGCAGGGCTATGGGCATGCAGGCGTTGTGTCGAGGCTTCGGTCTTGAGCTGGGCTTTCGAGCATGGAGTGATCTGGCCGCGGCCCTCGGCGCCATGCAGCGCCGAGGCGGTGGCAAGGTTCGTCACTTAGAAACGCCGACGCTGTGGGTCCAGCGGGCCCTCCGCGACGGCCGCTTTCAGCTTTCCAAGGTCCCGGGCAAATCCAACCCTGCGGACCTGGGCACCAAGTGCTTGAATCAGGCAGCGATGCGGCGAGCTTTGAAAATGACGAATGTTGAGCTCTTGGATGCGCCCCTCCCGGGTGCCCTTCAGGCAAATGTTTAATGGGGGCCCGTCTATGACAACGGCCATTTTGGCCTGCAGCTCTTCAGTCTCCACGCCATCTTCTGCCTTGGAAGGGCTACGGTCGGTGGCGATGGCTATAGTACTTGTTCAGGGCACGTCCGGTTGCTCGAATTGATCATGTAACATGTGTGCTGTTGAGGCCGGGCTATGTTGTGCATGGGTTGGAGTCACGCCTGGGCAAAGAAGCCCAGCGGCACGAAGGGGGCTGCATAAACCCACAGTCCCCTGCTTTCATTGTGCTCAGAGAGTGGTTGGATATCATGATGTGGCGTACGACATTGACGTTTCGGCTCACCTCTCCAGGCAAGCGCCCCGAGAACAGATCTCATCATATCGGCTCTTCGGGCCGCAATGTTGCTCCACGACCGCCCAAGAGATGCCCCAGGAAGGCCCAAGAAGTGTCTGGAACGGAATCGACGGCCCCATGAGGACATCCACCAAAACACCCCCAAGATGGCCCCAGCTGCATTCGAAATCGCGAGAACGCCACAAATCACGTGCACCAGGTACCTGACGCCACGCTTGACGCAAGACGGCCTCTGGAGGGCCCCACTAGGCTGCACGAATTCGAGGCGGGGACTTATCGATGACAACCGCTTGGTTGGTCGATGGTCGGCATGCGGGGGGTGTTGATATGTTTGCCCCCCCCCCGGGTGCCCGAACTGTCGAGGCTAGACTCGGAACCGCTTGTGCAGACGAAGAAGAGTTCATATCATGCACAAACGCCTCTTGGAGCCTGGGCTTGGCTGAGGGCGAGGGCGGCGAGGCGGACCTTCCATAGCAGTCATTTCCGCGGACACACCTCCTCCCACTTGATGGCATTGGGGGAGGAGGGGGGCCGCTCTCGAGGTACTCAAGGCCCCCCCGAATGGAGGATCGGTGGAGGTTCTGACTATGTCGATATCCGCCGCCTCCCGAGGCCCCTGCAAAAATAATCTACAGGCGGCGGCGATGGACAATCTCCAAGAAGTCCCAACAGGGCCCCCCCACCGGAGAGCACCCACAGAGCCTAAGCAGAGTTCCAGAAGGCTCCGATGTCACCGCAAAGGACCTTCAAACGAATCCCAACTAGTCCCCCCTAATCCCTTCAACCCGAGGCTACGCATAGCAAGGGTTTTCGGTAGTGCCTCGTCCTGCTCTTCGCGGATGGCGATGGGCGGCCGCCGCGCCAGATTGCCAGCCATGTCCACGCCAAAGGTAAGGGGGAAGTGTTGCGACGTGGAGGAGATGTGCACCACGAGGCCAACTGCGGCCTCGATGGCTGGTAGGACTCACCCTCGGACGCGCTCTGATTTGGACCCATGCATACTTGGTAAATCGTAACCGGCCTGCCAGTTGGTGTCCCACGGAAGTTCCTTATCTTCCGATGGGTCTCGGGTCGCTTCAGGAGGTTAAGACATCGGTCGGCTTCAGCCCTTCCTAGACTGACTCATGTTCAGCCGCTCTTGCTCAGACTTCCCCATCTTCATACTTGTTCATGCTCAGATCCACCCACCCTCAGACCAGCTCACGAGTCCCCCTCCCGCCCAGGTTCGTGGCCTTCGTCGGGAGCTCGGCCCCGCGGGTGCCACCGAGGGATGCGCGGCGCGGGCTCCTGGCAAGAGAGGCCCTCAGCCAGGGCGACACCGTTATGGCCGGCGCCCCCCCCCCCCCGATCTGCGCTCTGACTTACGGTGGGGGCGTTCGTTAAGGAATGTGCCCAGGAGGCCTCAGACCTTGGAGGATTTTTTGTTTTATGAGGGCGGCGGTGATGCCCATGGCCAATTCTCAGTTGGAGTTGCACCGGCTTCCAGACCCTGGATTCCTTATCCGATGGTTCCTTATCCAGTGCCCTCACCGTAGCAGGAAGGGAGAGGTCGAAGGGAGGGGAGGGATAGGTCCCAGAAGTTTTCGCCGCCGTGGGGCCTCTGGGTCCCTGAGTGGGTCCCAGGGCCGTCCAATCACTGCTCAGGATGAAGACCTAGCTGTGGGGAAAGGCCCAGAGTCTGGGACCCTCGATATTGCCGCAGAACCTGTATTTCTCCCATGGCGCTCCCCTGGGAGGCGTTCCGTAGGGGGCTTCGCTGTCGAGGCTCGAAAGAATTGTCATCCTCTTCCTCAGTGGATGGCGGCGGAAGGGCGGCGGAAGCCCGACGAAGTAGAACGAAGCAACCTCCGCCGGCGGAAGCCGGCGGAAGGCTGGCGGAGACCCATCCGCTCGTGTTGCGCGCGCACCCGTCGTGGGCCCATCGTTCGTGATATAGGATCTCGAATGCGCCGATATCGGTAGTTTTTCATCTAGGCCCCTCACGAAGCGTCCTTTCCTGAAGGCTCCTGGGCGCAGTGGTTTAAAAAAAAAGGAAGGCAGGCGGAGGGTGGCGGAAGTAAAACATGCGTTCCAAAGAGATAACAGCCTTGTGGGGTTCGGGGTTTCTGAAACCCGCCATGTGTCTCGAGGGTCGGTGTTCGAGGATCGGGTGTCTTGGGTGTCTTCTCCATTTTTATCGGGGAATCCTGGGGTGCTCCTTCTGGATCACCCTCGAGCCAACGCGGTCGAGAAAACTCACGACGGCCACTTCTGCCTCGGCGTCGGGGGTCTGACGCGTCGCGACCAGGGGTTCTCCTCGTCCTACAAGTTTCCGGTCAAACAACTCGCTGGTATGAAAGGGAAGGGGGCGGATGGCAAGGGCATGTAGTGCTTCCAGCATGCGCCGTAGTCATCGCCTCCTCTCCCTACCCCTGCTCCCGCGCGCAGCATTGCTCTTGCAGTGGGCATGCGCCCATACGTGCACAGTTGCAGCATTTGTTTGCGCATTCCTCCATCCCCTTAAAGCAGCAACCCGTACTGACATCGAGGCGGGGTGATGGGTGGTGGCGCAGCGGGTCGCGAGCTTGGATGCTCTCTTCCTCCTCCTCCTTCACGGTCGTTGGCCTCGTCAGCAAGTCCTGGCCCACCACGAAGATCGCCATCTCCATGTTGAAGGACAAAGGCTACGAGGTGCGGCCGGTGGTGGCCCAGGGCACGGACGAGGCCGAGGCCCCGG